TGCAGAGATGCATGACCGTCTTGCTTGGCTGGTGGTCAAGCATAGACTATCTGCTAATATGTTAGTATATTTTCATAAAATCATTAACACCCGGATTCCTAAATTTCTTTATGACAATATAATTTACTATTCAGATATGCATTCACATTACACAAGAGGGGCGAATAGTCATCAGATTTCTTTACCCCTACCTAAATCTGACTCTATGAAGAGGACCGTGTTTTATAGGTCAATTGTGCTTTGGAACAATCTTCCAGTTGGGGTTCGTAAAATCAAGGGAAAAACTGGTTTTAAAAAAAAGATTAAGACTGCATTTGTTTTTAACATCATAACATCGTCTGGAATGGTTGAGCGAGGTTGTATCATGTGTCCTGGTGTTTTGCATTATTTTTTATTACTTTAATCAGTACTTTATTATTATTATTTTTTTTTTTGTTTGGACCCCAGGAAGACTAGCTGTCGCCTCAGCGTCAGCTAATGGGGATCCTTTTAAACAAACAATAAACAATATTTAGCGGTTTTAATCGAGTCGATTTGTTACAGAACAGTACAATACATACATTTAATACAATTACAAATAACTTTATGCAACCTATTTGCCCCCAGACTCCCTGCTAACGTTATCAGTGTTTAAATAAAAGGAACAGATCGGCTCCGGCTCCTGCAGGCTCTGTTTCTTAGCATATACCCTGTGTGTTCCAAAAGAGATAATGATTATCTGATGAAATGCACAAATCAATCACTGAATAGCTAAAGTTAAGTACTGAAGAGTACTTTGATCACTGATACTGATGTTATATGAACTGTCATTTAACACAAACTGGATAATAAATGTCTGAAGGTTCAGATCACACTGGAACTGTGGCTGTAAATCAATTAACAAGGATTAGTCAAAATATGGCTGTGAATAATGGGGACAAATAAAAAGTTCAACATTCTTCACATAATTGATGTTTTGAACCATTGAAATACTCGTTTGACGATGTAAGAAAAAATTACATATATGAGTTATTCATAAGTCATTGTTATAAGTAGGTTTACTCCTGAAACATGATTCTCTTCTTTATTGTCTATTCAGCAAATCAGATGAACTCACCTTGTCCGGTCTCTGTTTGGCTCACACACACACACACACACACACACACACACACACACACACACACACACACACACACACACACACACACACACACACACACACACACACACACACACACACACACACACACACACACACACACAGGAACGCTCCGTCCCATCGATCAACATAAAATGATTGACAGGATCAGAGAAGTGACTTTAAAACCCACATCCAACCGTCTGATTCTAGGTGAGCGCCGTGCTGCAGGTAAGACACATTCCTATTTTATTTCATCTCATGACTTTCTGACTGGAAATAAGATGAAACAAGACAAGTAATCATTTAAAAATTAACTCTAATATCAATAGTGTGAGTTTGAGTCTGTGTTTTTATGGACAAGCTAATGCCATTACAGCCATTTATTACACACGTCTGTGAGCGAGTCCTCTCCTGTCGTAGGGAATTCAAACAAGTATTTGAGTGAAGCAGATACAGAAAGTCATTTCATGCCTGAAAGCATTGACCGTCATCAGGGACAATCACCTGTCTTACAGGTTGCAGATGTTCACATCTGGACATACCTGTATGCTTACTTTAACATCTTCTCCGCCAATTGCATCAAATCAAAAATACCAGACAATTTATCTTCTGTCTCTTAAAAATACCAACATATTTATGTAATTACTCGGTTTACTTTTAGGCTAATTTTGAGAAATGAAGATTCACTGTTAATTAAATAAGTCTTTAAACATCCTTTGGTTCTGAACTTCTGAACTTCTGATCAAGGATCACTACTGTTACCGTCGCCCCTTCTGAGACGAAGTCAAAAAGAGTTGACTATTTCAAATTTAAAAAATATATAGAATTTATTAACTAACAGAAGCAATACAATTACAAAGTTAAGACTATCAGCGTAGGAACAGTACTTCACCTCTAAATTTGAGTCCAAGAGCGACAATTAGCTGGTTACGTATTGTTTAATGCCCTAAATTGGCGAGGAGAAACTTTTACAGTAAAACATTCATGAAGTGTTTCAAACTCATGTGAATTTTCAAATTCCAATTTCCTCTTTTACAATTACAGTGAAGATTTGCAAAGAACAAACCACAGCCTTTTCAGAAAGATGTCCTCCCAAGTCCGCCTGAGGCTGCTGCCGAGAGCCAGATGCATGTTCGACGAGCCCGTCCAGGTGAAGGTGGCCGGTCTCAGGTCGAGACAGATGGTCACCCTGAGAGCCAGATCCACTGACGAGAAGGGAGTGGTGTTCAGCTCCTCGGCCACCTTCAGGGCTGATGGGAGCGGGCAGATCGACCTGGAGAGGGACCCCTCCCTCGGTGGGACCTACACAGGCGTTGAACCCATGGGTCTGCTTTGGTCCATGAGGCCGAACACTTTGCACATGAAGTTCCAAAGAACTAAGTCTCTAAACCCCCACGGAGTGAAGATCTCAGTTCATGACCAGGAAAAGGAGGAGGGCAGGATCCTGGCAGAAGCGACCAATGAAAGGCTCCTGATCGGAGACGGGGTCATCCGGCGCACGGTCAGAGAGGGGAATATTCGTGGGGCCCTCTTCACTCCGCCAGGTTCTTCTTTGTCTCTATCAAATATTCAAATCCTTTAATAACCAACATTAAAAGTAATGGATTATCAATTATGTTTTGATAGGATTTAGCTGCAGTGTTATAGTAGTGTTAACCTTCTCTGTTTCGATCCAGGAGATGGTCCGTTCCCCGCTGTGTTGGATCTCTACACCTTCAGTGGAGGTTTGTCAGAGAAAAGGGCCTCCTTGCTGGCAAGCCGAGGGTTTGTGGTTCTGACTGTAGCGCTGTACGGTAACATCGACAGGGCGAGGAACATCAAAGAGGTCCATCTGGATTATTTAGAGGAGGCAGTGGAGTTTTTGAAAAAACAACATAAGGCAAGTTGTTTGAACTGTAAACTCTTAATCTCTGAGAAAACAGTTGTTTTTTGGGACACCTTTTTGCAGGTTTTCTGTCTATAACACTGCCAAAATATTTAATAACAAGCAGCTAATCGTTGGTGTGTTGGACCACAGGTTGGTGGTAAAGGAGTTGGTGTGATATCCATTTCAAAAAGTGGAGATCTGGCACTGTCGATGGCCTCTTACCTGCAAGGTGTCGAGGCCGTAGTGTGCATCAACGGCTGCTCCGCCAACACGCTTCTTCCTCTCTACTATAAGAAGAGCCAGATCCTCCCCCCGTTAATGGTTGACCTCAGCAAGCTGATTCCCACTGAGTCGGAGGCCTTCAATACCAAGAAGGTTCTGAACGACCCTCGTGCAGAGGAGAACGAGGCCACGCTGATCCCTGTGGAGCGGGCGGAGGGACGTCTCCTCTTCGTGGTCTCAGAGGACGACCTCAACTGGGACAGCAAGGCTTACTTGGACATGATGGTGGAGCGACTGCAGCGTAACGGGAAGGACAACTTTGAGATTGTGTGTTACCCCGGAGCGGGACACTGTCTAGAGCCGCCTTACGGACCCTACTGCCCCTCCAGTTTGCATGCAGTTGTCGGCAGTCCGGTCCTTTTGGGGGGCGAGGCCTGGTCCCACGCTGCTGCTGAGGTCCACCTGTGGGAGAAGATCCAGGAGTTCTTCAGGACTCACCTGAGCTGTGATGCTACGCAGACTAAAGCTAAACTCTAGATGCAAATATCACGATGTGAGAGAGATGGGTAACAGCTGAGGGGGGGTTACAACTGTAATCAAATAAAACAAGCAAATAATAAAACTACCGAAATATAAACACAAAGCATGATTACTGAGTTTGTATTAGTATGTGACTTTAACGTATTGTATTGAGATGTTTTATCAAATATACAAAGCTTTCTAATTGCCTCTGTCTTTGGCCCACTCAAATTATGACATTACATTCTCTATTTGGCAGCGTCACGACCCGGCAGAACACAGTTGCAGGGTTTTAAGGGATTTGTAGTCTTTATTAGTAAGACTGGATCTCCAAGGCAGAGAAATAAATACGATCTGTAACTATTGTCTAGATCACACTTCTACCAATAAATAATTTAGGAAGAAGTGTGGCTATAAAAACTAAATCGCCCAAAAGTCGCTCCACTCGAGGAAAACAAAAAGGCTTCTAACTTCATCAGAATTCCGGGTAAACACTCTTTGGACAGAGGCAACGTCACTTAACAAAAAACACTCCTTAAAACTGGAGGCACTACGAAAGATTATCAAAACAAAATTCACTCCCTACGGAGGAAACAAAGGACGATGAAAACATTAAACTATTAACCTAAATGTATGATTTCACAAAATCAGAATTACTCTCTTGGAGGAAAAACAATGGAGCAGAACACCATGACGTGGTTTTAGTCTTGCTAGACAAGACGCCCATAAAACCATCCTTGGGGAGAAAATGTGGATGAATTAAAAATCCTTCCTCAGGTTTAACGTTACATTGTGACAGGATGTTATTGTGAGCAGTAATTAAGTTACATAAAATTACTGAATTGTGTTATATTAATAATTTCAATATGAATTCAACATGCTAACTTTATAACTAATTTCTAATAACCCACAAACTACAATTCTATCACTAAATATGATCACATGTATTATAATTTCTACCACTAGGTGTGCTCTTCTGCTTAATCCCTAACAGATTTGACTATAATAGAAGATAATTTAAGAGCCAACCATGTGTTCAATCTATTGACTATCAGCGTAGGAACAGTACTTCACCTCTAAATATGAGTCCAAGAGCAACAATTAGCTGGTTACATATGATTTAATGTGCTAAATAAGCGAGGAGAAACTTTTACAGAAAAACATTCATGACGTGTTCATCTGCTTTGTCAAAGTGTTTCAATCTCAAGTGAAATTTTAATTTCTCTTTTACAATTACAGTGAACATTTGTAAAGAACAAACCGACGCATTTTCAGAAAGATGTCCTCCCAAGTCCGCCTGAGTCTGCTGCCGAGAGCCAGATGCATGTTCGACGACCCCGTCCAGGTGAAGGTGGCCGGTCTCAGGTCGAGACAGATGGTCACCCTGAGAGCCAGATCCACTGACGAGAAGGGAGTGGTGTTCAGCTCCTCGGCCACCTTCAGGGCTGATGGGAGCGGGCAGATCGACCTGGAGAGGGACCCCTCCCTCGGTGGGACCTACACAGGCGTTGAACCCATGGGTCTGCTTTGGTCCATGAGGCCGGACACTTTGCATATGAAGTTCCAAAGAACTAAGTCTCTAAACCCCCACGGAGTGAAGATCTCAGTTCATGACCAGGAAAAGGAGGAGGGCAGGATCCTGGCAGAAGCGACCAATGAAAGGCTCCTGATCGGAGACGGGGTCATCCGGCGCACGGTCGGAGAGGAGAATATTCGTGGGGTCCTCTTCACTCCGCCAGGTTCTTCATTGCCTCTATCAAATATTCATATCCTTCAATAACCAACATTAAAAGTAATGGATTATCAATTATGTTTGATAGGATTTAGCTGCAGTGTTATAGCAGTGTTAACCTTCTGTGTTTCGATCCAGGAGAAGGTCCGTTCCCCGCTGTGTTGGATCTCTACACCTTCAGTGGAGGTTTGTCAGAGAAAAGGGCCTCCCTGCTGGCCGGCCGAGGGTTTGTGGTTCTGACTGTAGCGCTGTACGGTCACAGCGACAGGGCGAGGTGTCACGGTGTGGTTCACTTCCTGTTGTATTTTTTAGTTTTCTGCCACTCGTGTCCCCGGGTAACTTCACTTCCTGCCTTGTCCCGTCATCCCCTGTGATTGTCTAATAGTTTCCACCTGTGTCCAATCACCTGCACCTCCCTTGTGTATTTAAGCCGTGTGTCTCTTGTGTCACTTGTCGCGTCATTGTCTTTGTCGTGGATGTCCGTAGTTTCATGCCTGCTGTTTTCCCCCCTGGTTCCTGTGTGTTTTTGCCCCTTGGCCTTTTGTTTTGCCGTTGTGACTATTAAAGTCTTTTGTTTTTGAGAAGTCTGCATTTGAGTCCTGCCTCCCTGACAGCGAGGAACATCAGAGAGATCCATCCGGATTATTTAAAGGAGGCAGTGGAGTTTTGTGCCCCTCGAGGAAAACGAGAAGGCTTCTAACTTCATCAGAATACCGGGTAAACACTCTTTGGACGGAGGCAACGTCACTTAACAAAAAACACTCCTTAAAACTGGAGGCACTATGAAAGATTATCAAAACAAAATTCACTCCTTACGGAGGAAACAAAGGACGATGAAAACATTAACCATTAACCTCAATGTATGATTTCACAAAATCAGAATTACTCTCTTGGAGGAAAAACAACGGAGGAGAACACCATGACGTGGTTTTAGAGGCTTAAACAGGAATTGACAAGACAAATGGACCAGACAAAATAAAACAAACCCGACAAGTTCACCGCGGTGTGACAGGCAGATTGTCATATTTAGGGGTTTTAATCGAGGAAAGTAGCCACTAGATGCAGATGTAAGCTTTAAAATAAGGTGATCGAGTCCTGCATTTGTTACAGAACAGTCGATATGGAGATTTTTATCTGCAACTGCTTTGAGGACAATATAAGCTAAGCACATACATATAATACAATTACAAGTAACTTTATGCAACCTATTTGCCCCCAGACTCCCTGCTGACGTTATCAATGTTTAAATAAAAGGAACAGATTGGCTCCTGCAGGCTCTGTTTCTTAGCATATACCCTGTGTGTTCCAAAAGAGATAATGATTATCTGATGAAATGCACAAATCAATCACTGAATAGCTAAAGTTAAGTACTGAAGAGTACCTTGTTCACTGATAGTGATGTTATATGAACTGTCATTAAACACAAACTGGATCATAAATGTCTGAAGGTTCAGATCACACTGGAACTGTGGCTGTAAATAAATTAACAAGGATTAGTCAAAATATGGCTGTGAGTAATGGGGACAAATGATAAGTTGTCACCCACTTTCACATTGAGTTTAACCAATGAAAGGAATTTTAAGATGCTGCCTTGGGCTCTGTAAATATTCAACATTCTTCACATAATTTATGTTTTAAACCATTGAAATACCCGTTTGACGATGTAGAAAAAAGACCTTATATGAGTTATTTATAAGTCATTGTTATAAGTAGGTTTACTCCTGAAACATGATTCTCTTCTTTATTGTCTATTCAACAAACCAGATGAACTCACCCTGTCCAGTCTCTGTTTGGCTCAAAAGCACACCCACACACACACACACACACACTTAAGAACGCTCCGTCCCATCGATAAATATAAAATGATTGACAGGATCAGAGAGGTGACTTTAAAACCCACATCCAACAGTCTGATTCTAGGTGAGCGCCGTGCTGCAGGTAAGACACATTCCTATTTTATTTCATCTCATAACTTTCTGACAGGAAATAAAAAGACGAAACAAGACAAGTAATCATTTAAACATGAACTCTAATATCAATAGTGTGAGTTTGAGTCTGTGTTTTTATGGACAAGCTAATGTCATTACAGCCATTTATTACACACGTCTGTGAGCGAGTCCTCTCCTGTCGTAGGGAACTCAAACAAGTATTTGAGTGAAGCAGATACAGAGAGTCATTTCATGCCTGAAAGCATTGACCGTCATCAGGGACAATCACCTGTCTTACAGGTTGCAGATGTTCACATCTGGACATACCTGTATGCTTACTTTAACATCTTCTCCGCCAATTGCATCAAATCCAAAATACCAGATAAATTATCTTCTGTCTTTAAAAAATACCAACATATTCATGTAATCACTCGGTTTACTTTCAGGCTAATTTTGAGAAACGAATATTCACTGTTAATTAAATAATAGTCTTTAAACATCCTTTGGTTCTTTGATCTGTGGAGTTCTGAACCTCTGATGGATCACTACTGTTACCGTCGCCCCTTCTGAGACGAGAAGTCAAAAAGAGTCCACTAACTAAAGTTTAAAAATGATAAAGTATTAACTAGCAGAAGCAATACAATTACAAAGTTAAGAACAGTATGAATAGTATAATATTTTGTGAAATAGAGAAGTCCCATGGTCCAGGTGTAAAGCTAAACTTATCAAGCCGGTTCCAAAATAATTCTACCAGCCCTTCCCCTGTGTTTGTCCTTCAAAAACTGCTCCAAGGTATTTATGACTCTCTGCTGGCTCCATCTGGTGGTCGAATCTGAAATCCCTGACTGACCTGCTTAAAACCCTGACCGATTTAGGCATAATAGAAGATTACTTAAGAGCCAACCATGCGTTCAATCTATTGACTATCAGCGTAGGAACAGTACTTCACCTCTAAATATGAGTCCAAGAGCAACAGTTAGCTGGTAACATATTATTTAATTTGCTGAATTGGCGAGGAGAAACCTTACAGAAAAACATTCATGACGTGTTCATCTGCTTCGTCAAAGTGTTTCAAATTCAAGTGAATTTCCTCTTTTACAATTACAGTGAAGATTTGTAAAGAACAAACCACAGCATTTTCTGAAAGATGTCGTCCCAAGTCCGCCTGAGTCTGCTGCCGAGAGCCAGATGCATGTTCGACGAGCCCGTCCAGGTGAAGGTGGCCGGTCTCAGGTCGAGACAGATGGTCACCCTGAGAGCCAGATCCACTGACGAGAAGGGAGTGGTGTTCAGCTCCTCGGCCACCTTCAGGGCTGATGGGAGCGGGCAGATCGACCTGGAGAGGGACCCCTCCCTCGGTGGGACCTACACCGGCGTTGAACCCATGGGTCTGCTTTGGTCCATGAGGCCGGACGCTTTGCACAAGAGGTTCCAAAGAACAAAGTCTCTAAACGCCCACGTGGTGAAGATCTCAGTGCACGAGGAGGAGGAGGGAGACGAGGAGGGCAGGATGCTGGCAGAAGCGACCAATGAGAGGCTGCTGATTGGAGACGGAGTCATCCGGCGCACGGTCAGAGAGGGGAATATTCGTGGGGTCCTCTTCACTCCGCCAGGTCGGTGGCCTTTAAGCCTCTAAGTTGCATAAAAAATCTTCACCCAAGAGATCAAAGATACAATGAATTGACCTTTTTTACAATTGAAAGTGACGAAAACAGAACACACATGATAGCTAGCATGTAGCATGTATATCACTCTCAATCCTCCCTCAATGTTTTTTCCGATCCAGGAGTGGGTCCTTTCCCTGCAGTGCTGGATTTATACATTTTAGGGGGAGGTTTCTCTGAGAAGAGGGGCGCTCTGCTCGCCACTCGAGGATTTGTGGTCCTGACCGTAGTGGCGTACGGTTACGATGACTTGCCCAAGAAGATGAAAGAGATCCATCTGGATTATTTCGCGGAAGCAATACAGTTTTTGAGAAAACAAGATAAGGGGAGTTCTCTAAATCTTTTGAGATTTTTGGTGACACATTTCAGAGTGTGGTTGTCTAACCACCCTTAGAGGACTTAGAGAATACTTCATGCCTATCTGCAGGAAAACTAATGCGTAATTCATTTTGTTCCCCCTGCAGGTTGGCGGTAAAGGAGTTGGTGTGATTTCAATTTCGAAAACCGGAGATCTGGCACTGTCGATGGCCTCTTACCTGCAAGGTGTCGAGGCCGTAGTGTGGATCAACGGCTGCTCCGCCAACACGCTTCTTCCCCTCTACTATCAGAAGAGCCAGATCCTCCCCCCGTTAATGGTTGACCTCAGCAAGCTGATTCCCACTGAGTCCGAGGCCTTCAATACCAAGAAGGTTCTGAACGACCCTCTTGCAGAGGAGAACAAGGCCACCCTGATCCCTGTGGAGCGGGCGGAGGGACGTCTCCTCTTCGTGGCCTCAGAGGACGACCTCAACTGGGACAGCAAGGCTTACGTGGACATGATGGTGGAGCGACTGCAGCGTCACGGGAAGGACAACTTTGAGAGCGTGTGTTACCCCGGAGCGGGACACTATCTAGAGCCGCCTTACGGACCATACTGCCCCTCCAGTTTGCATTGGGTGATAGGCAAGGTGGTGCTGTTGGGGGGCGAGGCCGGGTCCCACGCTGCAGCTGAGGTCCACCTGTGGGAGGAGATCCAGGAGTTCTTCAGGACTCACCTGAGCTGCAATCTTGTGCAGATTAAAGCCAAAATGTAGAGATAAATACGGATACACAATCTTCAACGAATGAAGTTGATACATTAAATCATTTCTTTGTAGAATCTAGAACAGATGCAAGAGTGATTTTTACTTGCCTTCATATGAATAAACATTTTAACTTCATACAACCTTAAACAAGTCTCATCTTTACGCCTCTTCTGTTCCTTCCAGACATTCAAAGAACAACGTGTGGAGCTTTTATAGATTCATAAATGTTTCAACCTTCCCGTCAGTCTCGTCATAGTCGCTGCAAAGCAGCCTTGGAAAGAAACACAGAATGGAAGAGACCTGAAAAGGGAAATGAGAGGCAGGGTACCAAATGTGACTTATAGGCAACAATCTCGTGCTCATCTTTCTCCTCCGCTCGGAGGCGACAGATGAGGCATCATTGTTCCACGCGGCCTCTTCGCAGTGCAAACCCGTCAACATAGCGGCGCCAGCCTCGATCCGTCTCCATTTACTGGGTTGCATTGTTTGAAAAGCTCTTTCACTGCCTTTCGTCGACTCCGCGTGTTTGTGCTTTGCTCCCTTTCTGTCGTCTCAGTTCCACGGGGTTCTCGTCAGCCTTCGGGCTTCTGAAAGGGAGGGAAATGTACCTGCGCTTGCAAACGGAAGCTTGAGGGCTGTATTTGCTCCACAGGTGGAAATGGATGCGGTGGCCTCCCTGTCATGTGACGGGAGGTTATTATTTCCATGTTATCATCCATCTTGCAACTGTGTATCATGAACATTCAAAGATGACAAACTATGATGAAGAACCATCTCCGAGCATAGGCCTGAAACACAACAGCCTCCACGCTGAATGCAGATTACGATCACAATCGTGATTCTTGGGCAACCTTTTGTGATTTGTTGACTGAATTTAAAGATAAGAAGATACAATTCAAACTGAAAGCCGTCGTAGCAGCTCCTGTTTGTGTGGATGCGTACTCATACTTCATGTGCTACTGCGTGTGCATCCAGGAAGGTCTACCCACCCTTTTATCTACCTGTCTTAGCTGCTCTCTTCCCTGGATGTTTGTCTTGTGCACA